CCCCTTTCTCCTGTCCCCCTGCCTGCCATAATAATCTGCTGCCTCTTGATTTCCTGTTGTATTTAAGATAAATAGTTAAATGTGGTAACTTTAATCATTACTTAGTTTCTTAATTCAGAACATGGCCATCACTTTGTAGACTCCCTATCTGAAGGGAAAGAAGCTTTAAGAGTACTTTAACTATTTACTGCTGATGTGGTTTCATGTAGTGTGGATATATGCAATATTACACTACCTTGGTTCATTAATGGATTGAACCTGTCAAATTGCCACCTATAGATCAGCTAAAAGAACAGCTGCCGTTTACTTGAAGGTTTTTAAATTAATCCCTTCAGTTTTCAAAACTGACACTTTTCTATGGGTAGTTAACTTAATATTTTCTTTTAGCCATCAAACTGGTGAACTTTAAAATACTCTTCAAACAGTAAACTGACACTAAGTATTCTCTAAAATAAAACAGAAAAATTAGCGCAATATTGGGTTTTTTTTAAATGAAGTGTAGACATAGTACCATGATTCTTAATTCCCATGCCCATCCTTCTCATATTAGTCTCGACTGAATCTAGTTGCTGTTCACAGTTGAATTTCACACTGCCAAAACTAGGGAAATTACCATCAATCTAAGATAAATGCAACATTGCATTCCTCTACAGTGACTCATTAAGGCTTGAACTTAAATCTATATTCTGATGGAGCACTGTTTAAAAGAAATTCTTAAATTATCAGTCATGCACATGCATACCCACCCACCTTCCAGTGGCTTAAAAAGGTCTAGTTGACAGAGCTGTGGATACACCTTGCTTAGCTTTATTCATTGTCTTTGTACAATGATAAAGCTAAACTCATGCATGTAGGGTGGCTTTTTTTCAAAAAGATTATGGACTTAATTGCTAGCAGCTATAGAAAAGAGCTGTGAAGATGACTGTATAAAGTGCAGTCAGTGGTACAAAGGAAGCTGGGAGTGTGTGTGAGGGGGAAGCGGGCTGAAGAGGGGGAATCCATTTTTAGTTAACTTTTGAAGTACAGAAATTTGGAGGCAGATAAGTTTTCCCCCTTCCTTCTCCCAGTGGATTGTCTAAGTTTATCCTATCATGGGGTGGATATATTACTGGGTGTGGGAATTAAACAATTAACTTATTTGGCAATATCCAGTAAAGAATTCAAGAATTTTCTCCAGAGTGACTTTCTATATAGAAATGTAGCTGTTCAGGGAGTCTCTTCCAAATCTGCAAAAAATTATTTCCTTTGCCTAGCATCTAGTAAATAGACTATAAAATTACTGAAATCAAATAGAAATGATTTCTTGCCTATCTTTTTTTGAACAGTTAATGAAACTATCAGACTAGCATAGCACATTTATGTTCAACCTTGTGTGGATAGAGACCTCCCTGTTTTGGAGAAATGTATATGTTCATTCTTATCATAAGTACTCATTGTAGCAGAGCTTCCTTCATGTGTTACTCCCATTAAATAATCTCTAGGATGCTGAATTTGTTTGGGATAAGATGGAAAAAGGAATCATGGTTACTAAGTGATTAAGATTCTTGCCTAACACAGATGTGGTATCCTATTTTTAAAATGTTAGTTTGTTCAGCCACCATGCAATGCATTATAGTAATTTGTGAGCTACCAGTATGGGAATTTGAGTAGCACTTTAATGGTGGAGGAGAACACAGTAGGAAAATCTGCACCCTTTTAAATGTATTAAGAGAAGACTAAAAGAACGGAGTGTAAGCAAAACAGTTTTTTGGACATAGCAATTCTTTAACTGCCATCCTACATCATAAAATCCTTGTCTTTCATGACTTGACTTAATACACACCAGTGAAGTCAGTAACAGCAGCCCTGGAGCACTCATTTAATAAATATTGATAAAAGATAAGCCCATGGAACTCAGTGACTCTAAATTTTTAGAAGCAAAACTTGATTTGCCCCTTCACCTTTTTCCTGTTTGGCAAAGATTTGTTACTTTGCTTTTTGACTTAATGCAAGCTTCCACCCCAACTTCCTCTCCTTTAAAGAACAATGTGTGTTACTCTAAATGTGCTTAAGATTCAAAGTACTTTATCTAATAATGACAGAAGCTGGAACATTCTGGGCCTGCATTTCTTGTGGAATACAATACAGCAAAGTTGGAGGGGAAATATTTCAATGCAGTTTCATGGTAACAGATTATGAATGTCAGGTACTGTAGACAGTGGTACACTGAATCTGCAACATGCCAGGTTTTCATCTGGCGTGTAATTAAGAACTAGTCTAAAGGAGCTGTGCCTGTGCAATCAATGTCTCTTTATAAAGAGTTGTATGATATGAAGATTTTTTTTTAGTAACTTTTATCAATTTTGGCTCGTATTCAAAAACCTTACCAAGAAATAAGGTTTACCTCAGTGTGTAGTTTTTGAACACTAACTACCTTGGATTTTTTTTAGCCCCTGACATAGCCCTGCTCCTTCAAGTCTTTACTGAAACCCTTTTTTAATGTATTAGTATGAATAAACTTGACCCATTCCATTTCACTGCCTCAAATACATGTGCATAAAAATGCTTCCTGTGAATTAAGCTGCTTCCAAGGCTCTGAGCAGGAGATGGGGGAAGTAACCTAGTGCCAGAGATGGGAGTGGGAGGGGAAGCTGAAGTACTCAATTCTTTCTTTGCCTCAGTCTTCATGGAAAAAGTCAGCTCCCAGACATGCACTAGGCAATGCAGTATGGAAAGGGGGTGGACTGCCTTTTGTGGGGAATGTTAGGAACTATTTAGAAAAGCTACACATACACACATCTATGGTCCGGATTTAATGCGCCCGAGAGTACTGAGGGAGTTGGCAAATGTCATTACGGGGCCTTTGGCCATTATCTTTGAAAACTCATGGAGATCCTAGATTGGAAAAAAGGCAAATGTAGTGCCCATCTTTAAACAAGGAAGAGGGACAATCTAGGGAACTACAGACTGGTCAGCCTTACCTCAGTCCCTGGAAAAATCATGGAGGGGGTTCTCAAGGAATCAGTTTCGAAGCATTTGGAAGAGGGGAAAGTGATGAGGAATAGTCAACATGGATTCATGAAGGGCAAGTTGTGCCTGATCAATCTGATTAGCTTCTATGATGAGGTAACTGGCTCTGTGGACGTGGGATACCTTGACTTTGGCAAAACTTTTGATATGGTCTCCTACAATATTCTTGCCAGCAAGTTAAGGGGATATGGATTGGATAAATGGACTGTAAGACAGATAGAAAGCTGGCTAGACTGTTGGGCCCATCAACGGCTCGATGTCAGGTTGGCTGTTGGTTTCTAGCGGAGTGCCCCAAGGATCTGTTCTAAGACAGGTTTTGTTCAACATCTTTAATTACCTGGATGAGGGGATGGATTATACCCTCAAGTTTGCAGATGACACTAAGCTAGGGGGAGATGTAGATACACTGGAGGGCAGGGAGAGGGTCCAGAGTTCCTGGACAGGTTAGAGGATTGGGCCAAAAGAAATCTGAGGTTCAGCAAGGACAAGTGCAGAGTCTTGCACTTGGGATGAAAGAATCCCAAGCATAGTTACAGGCTGGGCACTGAATAGCTAAGTAGCAGTTCTGCAGAAAAGGACCTGGGGATTATAGTGGATGAGAAGCTGGATATGAGTCAACAGTGTGCCCTTGTAGCCAAGAAGGCTAATGGCATATTAGGGTGCATTAGGAGGAGCATTGCTAGCAGATCCAGAGAAGTGATTATTCTCCTTTATTTGATTCTGGCGAGGCCACATCTGGAATACTATTGAGTTCCCCCCACTACAAAAAGGATGTGGATGCATTGGGGAGGGTCTAGTGGAGGGCGACCAAAATGATTTGGGGGCTGAAGCGCATGACCTATGAGGAGACGCTGAGGGATTTGGGTTTGTTTAGTCTGAAGAAAAGGAATTTGATAGCAGCCTTCAACTTCCTGAAGGGAGGTTCCAAAGAGGATGAAGAAAGACTGTTCACAGTACAGGCAGTCCCTGGGTTACGTACAAGATAGGGACTGTAGGTTTGTACTCAACTTGTATTTGTACTTAAGTCGGAACTGGCGTCCAGATTCAGCCGCTGCTGAAACTGACCAGCGGCTGACTACAGGAAGCCCATTTGATAGCAGCCTTCAACTTCCTGAAGGGAGGTTCCAAAGAGGATGAAGAAAGACTGTTCACAGTACAGGCAGTCCCTGGGTTACGTACAAGATAGGGACTGTAGGTTTGTACTCAACTTGTATTTGTACTTAAGTCGGAACTGGCGTCCAGATTCAGCCGCTGCTGAAACTGACCAGCGGCTGACTACAGGAAGCCCGAGACAGAGTTTCTCTGCCCCAGGGTTCCTGGAATCAGCCTGCTGATCAGTTTCAACAGCAGCTGAATCTGGACACCAGGGACAGAGCAGCTGGGGCGCTGCCGGGTAGGTCCCCGCAGCGCTGCACCTCGGCGCTGTGGGGACCAATCTGGCAGCACCCCAGCAGCTCTACCCCAGGTGGCCCCACGTCCGC